AATGGTAACACCGTAGTCTTCTCTTATATTAAGTGAATATATAAAAGGAGGTTACATTTTGGTATTAGTTTCTCAGTTTTCGAGACCTGATTGTCATTGATGCATTCATTTAGAAATATGGCAACTTATCTTATTCATTACATAACTTTTCCCCAGATGCCCTTTATGTTTCATATTTTCATCCTTATGAGGGGAGAAAATAGTACAGTATGAGAGGCACTCGTGCAAGAATCGCAGTATCTAGACGGGTTGTAAAGGAGGAAAGGGAGCCAGAAGTTCAATCGATTCAACTGTAAAGGGATAGACGTGATGAGCTATTGGAAGAGCTCAGGGATATGGTAGTTGACATAAGACAAACTGTTAGGGACATGACACGATCATAAGGGGTAGAGAGTAAGAAGAGAGAGTAGAAGCTTAGAGTATCCCAATGTAGGAAGCACATAGTAGACCTAGATCGTCTCGAAATTCGAGTAGCGGACCAGAGATTCCTAGCACTGATCCATCTATTGATCATGCTTGGAGGATGTTTGTTCGGTTCAATCCACCGACATTTGATAGAAGTATGAGGGAAAGTGAAGCAGAATCATAGATAGAATGAATGGAAACCATCTTTGAGGTAGTGATCTGTACTTGTAATGTCCACCTTGATATTACCAAAATTCACCACACAATCACGACAAACAATTATAATTAGGAGCAATCCTTGCTCCTAAGCTCACATTATCTATATAAGGGTTAAAACTAATAATCTTTTAAAAATAATTGTGAAATATTTGGGATCCCATAAAAACCCTTTAAATTTGATAGTTTGAGCTCAAACTTAATGATTTATATAGGTATTGGAAGTATGAAAAAGTTTTAGGAAGCAAAACACTTCAAAACTGGCTGAAAAATGTTATTTTTGAGTGTTTTAGTCCATGCACCATGGCTCTCGGTCCATGAGCCGCGGCATGTGGCACAGAAAAGCATGTTTTCTTACTGTACCATGCACCACAGCTTGCACGAAATGCACCGCGGGGCATGTGTCCATGACAACTTTTCTAGATGAACTTCGAATGCGCACCATTTTTGCATCTGACGTCCAATTAGAGTGATTCAAGCTCCCACACGAAGGTTATTTAATAAGCTAACTAATGGTATAAGTTTCATTATAATCCAACACCGTATGAGAATTTTAGACACTTGGATGCAAAAGTCAGTCTTAAAAGCAATTTTCAAGCATTCAAGTACCCAAAACTCATAAGTTATACCATTAATTCATTATGAGGCTTGAACCAAGTCCAATAGACCAAAATACACTTGAGTGAGCATTTAAACACATAAAAACATACCAAACACAAAATTTGGTCACTCAATGGCCATTTGGCCAAAATACTAAAACAACATCATGTACATTATTTGGCCTTTATTGCCACGTAATACATTATATATACATTGTTACCACATATATAAAACATTCCTTGCACTTCTATCAATATTTTAGCCTATCATCATAAAAATTGCCATATATTCACCTCATATACAATATTGAGCTAAAATACATAATAACATAGTATGAAACAAGTGCAACCAATCAAAATGATATACATTCCTAATTAGCAACATATAATCTCATCTATAAAATTTTATGTACATGACTTAAATTAAAATCGAGCTTTACAATAAGATTGTAGCTAATATGCTAGCCCTGGCTCAGTCTTAGTGGTAGGCCCTATAAAATGATAACCACGGGGTGAGATAAAAATCTCAGTAACTAAGATAATCTACATTATTGATTAACATGTCAAGTTATAGACAAGTCTTAAATCAAGTAAAATAAGCACAACAAATGAAATCACCACAAGTTACATTCAAGATCCCTAACCATCCAGTCCTCCAATACTCCCGACCAAACAGGTAGGCTATTTCACAGAACCACACATGTATGGTCCTCAAGCTAGTACTGGTTCCCCCATTACAAGTAATTGGGGTGTCGTTACTCTAACATTGCATCCTACGGATGCTAAGGAGCATATTTTCCAACTCGACACCTTTTTGGGTATTAAGAAGAGTAAGTCTCCAACACCGCTCTCATTTTTGGGCACTAAGGAGAGTAAGTGCTGCACTTGGTGTCCCGAGGTGTTAGTAATGCCATATAGACTTAATCTTTACTAACTCCACTAGGGTGACCTCCCACCCTCTAATATGTCACAATTTACTACATATCTCTACTTGACCATACATAAACAACTTTCCAAACAAATATAACAAATCTTACCATTTACTTTAAAAATATAGAATTTCACAAACCAATAGTCCACTCATTTTCTAAAATAATTAACCTTTAAAGAATTTATACATATATGCACAAGAAATCATAGAAAAGCAACTTGAGAATAGCTTATTCAAGGTAATAAATAATGTAAATTATCTAGTTACCTCAACCTTTTTGTTACTAAAAGGGTTATCCGTGATACTAAATCTCTTCTTATGTAAGATAAGTCTTCCCACACTATAATCTACAACAAGTACTATATGTTAATTTTCAATTAACACAAGCACTATTAGCTAACAATAACCTCCCAATTCTCCCACTTCTCACTCATATTTTCAACAAATAGGCTTGTCACGATTACAATTTGTTCACACAATCCCTTCAAGCCTCCCTCTAACTCTATCACATCATAACACTTAATATCTCAACCTATCACACTTCAAAACCCCATGATCAAGTTAGGGCTTGATCCAACTTTTACCAGACAACAAAGTAGCTTTATATTACCACATATTCAAGATTAATAAACCTAAATCAAAGCTTTAGAGTTAATAGAAGCCTTTAAAACATAGATTCATGGCTTAATCCAATCAGAGCAAATTCTCTTTCTTTCAAATCCTATGGAAAATGAGATGAAAAGATAGAGGAGAAAGGTAGAAAACTTACTTAAGAGTTTGAAAGCTCAAATTATCTTCAAAATCCTTCTAAATTGATGCCCTAGTAGTGCCCAAAACTTGCCCCTTCGTGTTCTAGGTTTTCTACCATAAAAACTATCATTTTCTGATCATTTTTAAAATTTTAAGTTGCCTGATATGCCTGCACCGCAGCGCACGCCACACAAGCTGCTGCTCACAATGCAGCAAGCAACAAGTTGATTTTGCTCCTCCTGATGCCTCCCAACTTGATCTGACTTTTATCCTAACTCAATTTAGAGCCAAATATGACCCAAAAATTTAATTAGCAACCTAAAAACATAATTAATTAATTAATCATATTTTTAACTAATTTATCCCTTAATTAATCAATTTTTCCCAGATTTAAAGTTTTCAAATGTTACAGTACTTCATAGTAAAAAGTTATCTTAGCCACGGTGCAGTTGGTTAGTGCTATTAAGAGATGGTAGGAATCTGTGAGACCAACTGGTAGTATTCGTTTGAGCTGGGATGAGTTCAAGAGAATATTCTTTGATTAATACTTTCTAGTCTCATTTATAACTGAGAAAGAAGAGGGATTTCATGCTTTTTGGTAAGGAGACTTGGATGAGGAAGAATTTATAAGAAGATTCAATGACTTATTAGCTTATTCCACGTATCTTCAATATAGTAATGGCTCGAAGTAGAAAGCTGAGAGATTACTTGAAAAGATGAGACTCGAGTATTGGCAACAGATAACATTGCTTGATGTGATGACGTATGAGGAAATATATCACAAGCTGAGTGTAGTAGCTAGGTATGGTAGAGAGACAGATACTGAAAGGAGACGAGATAGTATGGGAAGATTTTCATCTCATACGGGTCCAACTGGGGGAATCTCATGGTGGAAGAAGAGGTTTTAGTCGAGGATCGCAGTCTCAACCTGTGCATAGAGGGTCAATACAGAGGGGTAGAGGTGTGAGAATTAGGCCTTCACAGTCTTCGAGGCAAGCATCAAATGTTCCAACTCTGACTTTAAGTATTAGAAGGATGCTCTAATGCAACATATGCTACAAATCTCATTCGAGAAGTTGTTAGGCTTGCTACAAGTGTGGTAAGTTGGGTTATATAGTAAGGCAATACCCAGAGGACAGAGTTGAGGGGATTGAGTAGAGATTGATGGTTCCAAGCTGAGCATTTGTGGTTACACAAGAAGAGGCCAAAGTATCACCGAATCTGATCAAAGATATGATTTTTGTAAATGGTCATAAAGTAGAGGTATTTTTTGATTCAGGTGCCACCCATTTTTTTGTGCCTAAGAAATGTGTGGATAGATTGGAATTATCTTTACATGAATTTCCTGTACTCATTAAAGTGACAACACTTTCTAGATTGTCTAGTATTACAAGTCAAGCTTGTCAGAATGTGGAGATTCGATTTGGAGACAAAGTTTCCAAGATTGATTTGATTTGTATTCTTATGAGAGGAATATATGTGATAATTGGCATGGATTGACTAGCAGTAAATAATGCTATGCTTGATTGTGCTAACAAAGTAGTTTTCTTGCCAGTGTTGTGTGCAGCTGTGGAATCTTCATAGCAATCTAAGTGTGTGTTTGGATTAAAAAATTTATAACTAAGGTTAGAATTCAACTGAGGTTAGCAAACTGAAGTTAAAAGAAAAGTCAGTTGATGTAACGTGATTTATGTTTGGATACCATTTTTTTTAAAAGTCAGTCAGATAAACTGAAATTCGTTTGGATGATTTAATTCAAAAGCCAGTTGAGATATTTAATAGTAAAAATAAGCATGAATTTTTTATCTTAAATATTAAATCTTAAATAAGCATGTTTGTATTTTTTGGAATCTTTAAACTTTAAAAGAATAAATTAAGAAAACAAATATTATGCACTGGGTGAAAATATTAATCGATAAAAGAATATTAAGAAAACAGATTCTGGACTCAACCCCACGAAATTTGATTGTATATTAACCAATAAAAGAATAAAACTAATGTCTGAGATTCCTTTTCAAGGGTGTTACGACAAATATTATGCACTGGCATATATATACATACATTATAAATATTCTTGACTAATTTTTCTCAAGGAATAATGAAGACAAGAGAATATATTCCTTCTAATTATATTTATTTTTTACTCAAAAATTGACAATCTAACCCCGAGTGTAGTGCCCGTTTACAAGACTGACATTTCCACAAAGTTTACAAATTAAAGATTAGACAAAAGCTAACTTAAGTTGCTTTTGATTGATCTAACCCATGCTATATAATCTTGAAAACATAATCCAAACATAAGATAAATATGTTGATGATTTGGATATAGTACAGTTCAAGACTTGCCAGAATGCCCCTCCCAACTCTCTTCAGTTCAATTGATCAACTAATAATTAACAATCACTAACATTTAATATTGTTATTTAATAATTAAAGGTGAAGACAACTAAGACCCACTCCCGGTCCCTACTGTAGGCTGGCATCTCCCTTTCCATGTATCTCCGATTGGTACGCCACACGAGGACAAGCACGAGCAGTCTTGAGTCGAGAGGTATATAAAATATAAGTAATCAAAACGCGACATTCGGGAAGAGAATGCCTGGAAGAAAGAAATTATTTTGGACCGCTGATCCTAACATGGCCTTAAAAGATAGGAATGCGAATGCCCGTGCCAAATATATATCGTCACACAATCATATTCTTGTTCATGTATGTTCAGTATATTACTACGTGAAAGGAAGACAAAGCGAGGAAGCAAAGTCATGAACATAAAAATATTCCTATCCATAGATGTAGAGCACGACAGATCAAGAAAATAGAAAACAGCAACTGAGTTCCAGTAAAAAAATAACAACAGCTCTTCCTCTGCTCTAAGATAAATGAAACAGGGGATGGAAAATAAAGAGGAGACCAAGTACAGATAAGTTCTGGAATAGCAAAGGACGATAAGCCACGAAAATAAAGACCAGCAACTTGAGTTCTAGAAGAAAAGAAAGCCAGGTCTTCCTCTGATCTAACGTAAATAAAACAGGGGATGGAACGTAAAGATAGTCTTCAAAAATAGTCTTAGTAAAAATAGTCTTCAAAAAACGAAGAGCAAGGCACGAAAGGAAGGAAGCAAAGAAGGAGATGAAAAAATAATGACATTACTTAACAAAGACAAGCGATGGAGAGCAGATCCAGCGATGGGAAGTGTAGATCCGATGGACACAGTAGGATCGAGAGGCGACAAGAAGAAGAAGCACTCCGAAGCAAGGACACGGTGGACGCTAGAAAGGACGGCAATGAGCTGGAGATCGGTTGGATGCAGATGACTAGAGTTGGAGATCGGCCGGAGGGAGTAAATGACTAACGGAAGGAGGCAGATCTGGTGTGTAGAGCTTTATGCAAGATCTGTGTGTGTTTTGGAGCAGATGGGAAGGTCACGGGAATAAAAGCAACACACGCACAGGAAGCTAAGCACAGCTACAGGAGATAAGAGAGAGAACACATCAGAAAATGTATTTTAAGAGGCACTAACGTGAACGCGCAGAAGAAAAAGCCAGGGCAATCAGCTTTAAACTCAACGCACGTTTTCATGCCAACTAAGGTTGAAAGATCTTATTAATCCAAACAAGATAATTTTATCATTTTACCTTCTAACTTCAGTTTTCCCTACTCTAACTGAGGTTACAATGGAATCCAAACATGCTCTAAGTTTCTATCAGTAGTGAGTGCTGAGAAGTTGATCTGGCAAGGTTGTGATGCCTATATAGTATTCTTTGTAGCTAACACAGTGTATGATGTAGAATTAAGAAGATTAGGGTTGTAAGTGAGTTCCCAAAGGTATTTTCAGAAGAGATGACTGGATTACCTCCTGAAAGGAAAGTTGAGTTCTCAATTGATTTGGTTCTTGGAATCAAACCAATATTAAAGGCTCCTTATAGAATGTTGCTGTCTGAATTAGCTGAGCTAAAGAAGCAAATTGAAGATTTGTTAGAGAAAGGATTTCATTAGACCAAGTGTATCACCTTGGAAATCACTGGTATTGTTTATGAGAAAGAAGGATGGCAGTTTGTGACTGTGCATTGATTATTGGCAACTAAACAAGGTAACTATAAAGAACAAGCATCCTCTACTAAGGATAGATGATCTTTTAGTCAATTGGCTGGTGCCTCAGTCTTTTCTAAGATTAATTTTAGGTTGGGGTATCATTAATTGAAAGTTAGTGCAGTAGATATACCCAAGACAGCTTTCAAAACTATGTATGGCCATTATGAATTTGTTGTTATGCCTTTCAGTTTAATCAATATGCCAGCAGTGTTCATGGATTATATGAACCGAATATTTAGGCCGTGCTTGGATTAGTTTGTAGTGATCTTTATAGACGACATCTTGATCTATTCTGAGAATGAGGAGCAATATGGAAGGCATTTGAGGATGATACTGTAGATTTTGAAAGACAGAAAGTTGTATGCCAAGCTCAATAAGTGTGAGTTTTGGTTAAGAAAAGTAAGATTTTTAGGACACATGGTGTCAGTAGATGAAATTTTAGTGGATCCGCATAAGGTTGATGCAGTGCTGAAATGGGAACGTCCTAGTTCAGTCATAGAGATACATAGTTTTCTGGGATTAACTGGGTATTATCGATGATTTATCTAAGGATTTTCCTAGATGGCTTCTTTTTTGACTAAACTAACTCGAAAAGATCAGCCTTATATATGGGACAACTGGTGTGAAGTGGCATTTCAGAAGCTAAAAGAGAAATTAACCATAATACCAGTGTTGATTATCCCTAATCTAAGGTTACCTTACAAGGTATACACTGATACATTTTTGAAAGGTTTTGGTTGTGTCTTGATGCAAGACAGTCGAGTAGTAGCCTATGCTTCACGACAATTGAGACCACATGAAGAGAATTATCCTACACATGATTTAGAGCTTGCAGCAGTGGTGTTTGCTCTAAAGATTTGGCGTCATTACTTGTGTGGTGCAGTATTCACTGTCTTTAGGGACCATAAGAGTTTGAAATACTTGGTGGATCAAAAGGAACTGAATATGAGGCAAAGAAGGTGGATGGAGCTTCTTAAAGATTATAACTTTAAATTGAAATACTATCCGGGTAAAACTAATATGGTTGCTAATGCTTTGAGCTAGAAGAATTTGCATGTGGCAAGTCTTATGGTTAAGGAATACAAATTGATGGAGTCATTTGTGGAGTCACAGTAGGATGCACTATTGAAGGCATTAGTTGGTGCCTATTCCATTGAGATTAGCAATGATTTCTAGAAGGAATTGAGAATGGCACAACTAGAAGATGAAAGTCTTTTAAAGATTAGAGAAAAGATTGAATCAGATCAAGCTATTGAGTTTAGATTCAATGATTATGGTTTTATAGTTTATCGGGATAGGATTTGTGTGCTTGATGATGTAGAGTTGAGAAAGGTTATCTTAAATGAGGCTCACTGTAGTAAATACACAATCCATTCGAGAGCTATAAAGATTTACCAAGATGTGAAGCAGTATTGGTGGTGGCTTAGTATGAAGAAAGATGTAACGGAGTTCATGACTCAGTGTCTGACCTATCAAAAGGTTAAGATAGAGCACTAAAGACTAGCAGGAATGTTACAACCATTAGATATTGCTACGTGAAAATAGGAAAGCATTTCTATGGATTTTATAACTGGGTTATCAGGAACTCGATCTGGACATAATGTCATTTGGGTTATAGTATACAGACTTACTAAATTGGCTCATTTCTTAGCTATTCAGATTATTGATTCTCTAAAAAAGCTGGCAGAGATCTATATTTGAGAAGTGGTAAGATTACATAGTGTACTGAAGAATATAATTTCTGATAGAGATCCAAGATTTACTTCTAAGTTTTGGGGAGCTTTATAGCATGCCATGAGTACAGAGTTATGATTCAGTATAGCATATCATCCACAAACAGATGGGCAGACAGAATGAACCATATAGACTTTAGAGGATATATTGAGAGCTTGTGTATTGGAGTTGAAAGGTAGTTGGGATAGCCATTTCCCTTTGGCTGAATTTAGTTACAACAACAGTTACCACTCCAGTATACAAATGGCACCTATGAGGCATTGTATGAGAGGAAATGTAGATCGCCTCTTTGCTAGATAGAGTTGAGTGAAAGGAGTATGCTAGGATCAGATATTGTGGATCAGACAACTGAAAAGATTGAGTTGGTTAGGCAAAAGCTGTTAACGACAAAGAGTAGGAAAAAGAGTTACGCAAATAGGTGTTTAAGGCCGTTAGAGTTTCTGGTAGGAGGCCATGTATTTCTAAGGGTTACACCAATTACTAGAATTGAGAGATCTATAAGAGCTAAGGATTTGACTCCTAGATTCATTGGTCTTTTGGAGATTATAGAGAGAATTGGACTAGTTGCCCACAGGATTGCTTTGCCACACAGTTATCGGGTGTGCATAAGGTGTTTCACCTATTGTAGGTTAAGAAATATCAACCTAATTCTTCACACACGATGGAACTAGAGGACATTGAACTCCAGGAGAATTTCACCTATAAGGCTGAGCCAGAGCAAATCATAGATGTGAAAGAGAAGCAGTTAAGGAACAAGATTATACGATTAGTTAAAGTTTTCTGGCGAGGCATGGCTCCTGTTGATGCTACTGGGGAGACAAAGGATAGAATGAAGCAACAGTACCCTCACATGTTTCTATAGGTATATATTTATGTCTTTTATGAATTTTGAGGGTAAAATTGTTAAAAGGAGGGGAGAACTGTAATATCCTGAATTTCTTAATCCTAAGTTTAAAGGTTAATCAAGGGTGAAGTAGAAAGTAAAGTGGGGTTAGAGATTCAGATGATTAATTGGTATTTTGACTTGTTTATGTGTTGTATGAATAGATATGGGTGATAGGAGTATGTTTTGGGTCGAAGCAAGTGCGCGTGGTGAGAATAAATCTTACTGTGTCACGCGCTGTGGCTTGTGCTGCATGTGTCGTGGCGTATGGACAAGAAATTCATTTCATAAGTCATGAATCTCAGAAAATTTTAGAGGATAGAATTTTAGAAACACACGAAATAGAGAGAGGAGAAGGGCTGAGGAGCTTGGTTAAGTCATTTTGAAGTGGTGGAAGGTGATTTGGATCAATAACTTGCCAGGTAAGCTACGTATAACTCTTACCTTCCATTCTACACAAATTTCTCTAAAAATGAGTTATAGGGAAATTGAATCGATGGAATTTAAGGGGTTTGATTCTTACCAAATAGTAATAAAAAATTCTCGAAAGTTAAATTAGAGTTTTGTGACTGGTTTAGAGCTGAACGGTAGAGCTTTAAACCCGAAGGCTCAATTTTAGCCTTTAGAGAGAGAGAGTTAGGGCAAAAATCTATCTTGAGCGAAATAAGATCGAACGAGGTAATGTAAAGTGGTAATTGGGTAGTTATAGACTTAGAATGGACAAATGGGAAAGAGTTTATGGATGAGTATAGCCCTAAATAGTAAAAATGAGTTTTTGGTCAAAATGGACCAAATGACTAAAATGTGCCAAATATATTCAAATTAGCATATTAGACTCGTGAATAGAGAAAGGAAGCTTGAGATAAGCTTATACGATAGTAAAAATCCACGGGTAACCTTTCTAGTAACAAAAGGGTTGAGGTAACTAAATAACTTCCTTTGTTTGACTGTTTGTTATAACTGTATATTAGTATGCTATGTAATGTATGATATGGTTTCGAATTGAGCATATTTTATAGCATTGAGTGATTGTTGTGTGTGAAACAGTTTTTGATTGAAATAAGCATAGAAATGTATTTTGTAATGAAAAATATCATATATTGTATAAGAAAGTGTTAAATTATGAAAAGGGAACCTTAAATGGTTTGAGAAAGCATGATCTGAAAGGTGAGAGTTCACCCGAGAGTATAGGGGATGATAAAGACCATATGGAAAGGTTTTCTTAGTACTATGTTAAGGTGCGGTATTGGAAACTGTAACATCCTAGAACTTCAAATCTAGAAAAGTTGATTAATTAAGGGATAAATTAGTTAGAAATGTGATTAATTTATTTAATTATATTTTTGGGTTGGCAATTGGATTTTTGGGTTATATTTGGCTCTAAATTGAGATAGGATGAAAGTTGGATCAAGTCGGGTGGGATTAGGGGTAGTAAAATCAACATTTTTCTTGCTGTGTCGTGAGCCGTGGCTTGCGTGGCGTGCGCTGTGGCGCAGGCACATCAGGCAACTTAAAATTTTACCAATCATCAGAAATTAATAAATTTTAGGGTGGAAAACCTAGAGCACGAAGGGGGTAACTTTGGGCACTGCTAGGGCATCATTTTGGGAGGATTTTGAAGACAAATTGAGCCTTCAAATTCTTGAGTAAGTTTCCTACCCTTCTCCTCTACCTTTTCATCTCATTTTCCATGGGATTTGGAAGAGTGGGAATTTAGTCTAATTGTATTAAGCCATGAGTCAATATTTTGAAGGTTTCTATTAACTCTAAAGGTTTAATTTAGGTTTATTGATCTTGGATATGTGATAATAGGAAGCTATTTTCTTATTTG